CCCCAAAACCCCAAAACCCCAAAACCCCTAATGGATTAGAAAAAATAGAACTCCAAAGATTAAAATATTAGGGTTATGACGACTTATATAGCTTAGAAATAGAGCGTTTTGACTTTACAAAGAGTCGATTCCTTCTTTTGGTCTGCGCTTGGCTCAATTCACTTATATTTTCTCAAATTTGAACCTTTCTAAAATATCTTTGATGTAATCGGCCAATCTATCTTGTACTTCCTGGGTGTAGCTTTTAAGCTAAATCCTCTAAATATTAGTGAAGGAAAGTACTTCTGGTTAAGAGGCGTAGATCTGAACATAGACTTATGAGCTTCTCGAGATTTGGTATTATCATAATCTTGAGTATTAGTGCTTCTGAATAATTTTTCACTTTTCTGGATATAACTCATGGGGTCTTTTCTATAAGAAATATCAAAATTGAGAATTTTAATCAAAGTATTAGCAAGATATCTTACTCAAGACTACTGCTTATCTGAATATTTGAAGAATTTTTGTTTTTTAAAAGCGTAAAATTATTGTTTCTGTTCCTGCCTCTTTCATAGAGAATGTCTAAACTATTCCGAAGATCATTTTGTTTTTCATTTCTATCAAAACTGATTTGGCCTCCATACGAATTATTTGACCCAGAAGGTCGCATAAGGTGATCTTCTCGCTGCCAATTTCTTCCAGAATTGATTGATTTATTGAGATACTACAATTTTAAGAGCTATATACCTGTGAGATACCTGTCCTTCTTGAAGTTAAGACTGGTTTTATTCCTTGATAGACCTCGAGATCTCGATTATTCATCCTTCTTTCCTGATCGCTCATCATATCTTCATATCTATTTTTATCAGAATTGAGCTTATTCTGATCATTAAGTCCCTTATACAGATGCTTCTGCTGAACTCTAAACTGATTTTTCTCCTCTTGCTCCCTTAAGAGGTCTATTTGGTCTCTTTCCTTAAGCATCCTGCCATACATTTCGTCAACCTTTTTGTTCTGCTTGCTTTCATTTGCCTTCTTCAATATCTGGGAGTTAAGCCCTTGCTGCATTTCTATCATCTTCTGTCTTTTTCTCTGTTGATCTTTCTTCTCTTGTTCTTCCCATTTCTTCTCTTGTGATTTAATGTTCTTCATAAATTCTTTGTTATCCTTCTCTGCTGCCTTCTTTGCAACATCATTGGCTTTGAGTTTTCTATAGTTAGCCGCTGAATTACTCAGTTTTACTTATGTTTGCATCCTGCATTCTTCTTAATCTAGAGAAAAACAAGTCTCTTTGGAGATCCTTATTTTCCTCCTGTTTGAGCCCAATTCCTAAGATCTTTTTATCAAGCTCTTTCTCATGCTTCAGAGCTTTTCTCTTGGATTCGAGTTGTTTATCAAGAGTATTCCTGATCTGAGCTTGAGTAAGTAGTTTCTTCGCTCGCTTAGTAGCCATCCTCTCGGTCTCTACTCTGTTATTATGAAGCATTGCAAGCTTGAATTGATCGTTTTCTAATTTGTTAATAGCCTTCTTCTCTTGGTTTCTCTTCTGTACTTCTTTCATACTTTCTTTAGCAATGAGAACTTCTTTTTCTTTGTTTTTATACAGAGGTAAGCACTTAATTTCTTTCTTAGCCTTGCCAATCTCGCAGCCATATTTCTACTATAAATGATGCTAAAATACCTCAAAAACCTGGTTTCGATGATCCCTATCATTTTGATCAGCGATGTAGCTGTCCATGTTAGATTTTGAACGGGATTTCTGAAGTTTTATTTGATTTTCAAGCTCAGCACGGTATTCTACCTGCTTATGTCTGATAAGCTCTTTCTCTCTTCGGTCTTTTTGTTTGTCTTTCTCATCTTTGAGCTTTAGGATCGCTGCCCATTCATTAGCAACGCCCTTATTTAGGAACTATTGGGAGATACCTGATCTCAGGATGTGGTGAAGCCCGATTCTTCTTCGATTCAGATAGGGTGAGTTGTCCATGATTAAAAAGTCTAGAATTAGTCCTGTAGTTTGAAATCGACCTTGAGCCTTTCTTACAGTGTAGATATGTATTGGAATACTCAGTATCGTACTCAAATTTTGGACGTACAGGAGTATGGAAGTGATCTTTCATTTTATTTTCTTATATTCTTTCACAATTACAAAGTCCATTGAAGGGGTTTTGGGGTTTTGGGGTTTTGGGGTTTTGGGG